AGCTGCTGGCTCATTTCAATTGACTTGTAATTTTCCCACCTTCGACTCCGAATGCTAGAATTGAAGGTATATATCAGCCTACCCAGCTCTTAGTGCTTCTCTTAATTTGCAGGTGGTTTTTTTTTTTAAACCTCTTTGATCAGTAGACATTTTTCATGCATTTTAATTATTTGCTAGGTGCTCAGTTTCTGAGCTATGAATCACACATGCACTACTGACATGTGAACAGAACTGACTGGAACAATCTACTGGAATTGTCTCTGGTCAAACAGCTGTGGTAAAAATGAAACTAATTAAACTGAAACAAGATGTCCCCAAATCTTCCAAGCCACTAATTAGTAAACTGATTTGAAATGAATTACTGTATGTACTAAATATGATGCTGTTTCATTGGATCCCTCCCAAATTATTTAATTCTCACTTTTAAGTTTATTCCCCCCCATCTCCAGGGTGTTAAGTAGCCCAGGCTGGTTTCTAATGTAGTTTAAGATAATCCTCTTGCCTCTACCTCCCACAGGCTAAGATCACAGGTGTGCTACACCACACCAAGTGTTGAGATGAGCCCAGGGTTTTGTGTATGCTAGGCAAGCATTCTACCAGCTAACTGAGCTATGCTCCTAGTGTCTATGTCCATTTTCTTGACCAGCCTGGTGACACAATCCCCATTCAAAGTCCCTTTCTTACATCTCCTCCTGGCAGCCTTTTCAAAAATGGGCCTGGCACACATTTGGTCCTGAGTGAGGACTTTCTGAATGGACTCTCTTGATTTTTACATACTTCCTAGCCAAGTGTACCTGTATCAGAATTCCTGGTTACACCAAATAAGAAGGCTCATCAACCCTAACCTAGATTGTGTACTCTCCTGCATGCGTGCTGTCAAGCATAGCCTTCTCTGTGCACGTCGTGTTAAAGCCGGTCCCTCTGGCCTCCAGTACCCAGGCATGCTCTCTAGTCTTCATAGGGATGGCTTTCAGGTATCATCAGGGTTAAAGTGATTGTCACACAGCTATACTCAACAGGAAGAGAATTTGAGGTGACACTGGAGAGAGGGGCTTCTTGCACTCTACTGTTTGAGGACGATGACTGTCATCACCCTTACGTAAGCCTCCATTTCCAGCAAGTCACTCCCCGGTTTAGAGATGTGGAGATTCTACACTACATGGGATAGATCAAATTTAGACCTCAGACCAGCAGGGTGTGGTTGTACAAACCTGACTTCCAGCATGCTGGTAGTTGAGGCAGGAGAACTGAGAATCTGAGATTAGCCTGAGACTACACAGAGGGAGTATCTAAGAAAGTATAAAAAGGGGTCCAACCAGATGACTCCGTGGGTAGAGATGCTTGCCAGCTAGCCTGAGTTAGAGCCCTGGGATCTACACTCCTGTAAGTTGTACTCTATCCTCCAGGCACATGCTGTGACACTGGGACACTCTCCCAATAAATACTTGTGAAATACAAACACACATAATACATCATACAGATCGGACTGAATTGGACCTATTTATAGATTTCAGGTTGTTGTTTTCACCACCCACCCCTGAAATTCTTTGTGTGCGTATATATGCATAGATATGATATATATGTTTGTCATATATGTGCATTTGTATGAATGGGTGTGAGTACCCGTGCACTCCTGCAGAAGCCAGAGGAAGGTTTCAGGAACCCTCATCTATCATTTCCATCTTGTCCCTCTGAGGTGGAGTTCCTTACTAAGTGTAGAACTTTCTTTCTTTAGCTTAGCTGGCAGCCGGTGAGCCCCAGTGATCTTGTCTTCCCCACTCTCAATGCTAAGGTTGCAGGCATGAGGGGGTGATGTTCAGCTTTTGTATTAATGCTGGAATCCAAACTCTGGTCTTCACACTTGGGCAGCAAGCACTGTTAACTTCTGAGACCTCTTTCCAGCCTCTGAATTATTATTCTAAAACATTTTATTTTTATATATGAGTGAGTGTGTATGCCACGTGTGTGCAGGTACCTGTGGAGGCCAGAAGAGGATGTTGGATCCCCTGAAGATGGAGTTATATAGGCCATTGTGAGTGGTCACTGTGGGTGCTGGGAATTCAATTGCGCTCCTCTGGAAGAGCTTCAAGCAGTCTTACACTGAGCAATCGCTCCAGCCCCTCACCCCCCAGTAGATATTCCAGATTCTCAGGAAGAACCTAAATAAAACATTCTTTTTCATTTCCTCAGAAATTGGAAGGTCATTAAACATGGCTGTCATACCCTCCATTCACTAAGAGCAGACTCAGTTGTCCTGTAAGGAGCAAATATGGAGTCCTTTCCAGTGTCTCCACCCTGCTCAGCCCACAGATGACCTCACCTTGCCCCTCCCTGGGTTTCTGTCTGTCTTGACAATGATCTGGGAAAGGGTCCAAAGGCCACTTCTGCAAGCAAGTTCTTGCTTATCTACAGGTGTTTACTATCTCCAGGGATGTACAGCTGCTCCCTCACCCCAGGTGCTCCCACCTCTATACTGGGGGTGTTTACTGTCTCCAGGGATGCACAGCTGCTCCCTCACCCCAGGTGCTCCCACGGCTTCCCATTTCAGCTTTGTCTTTCCCAGTGACTCCCACCATTGTGCTATGTTGACCTAACAGCATTACACCAGCTTGGTGGTGGGCAGAGGAAGAAATCTGGAATTCTCAAGTCTTGGTGAAGCTGTTCCCTAGCTGGCAACTTTGAGTAAGTCTGTGACAGTCACATGCCTTCGTTTACTCATCTGTAAAAGAGGATCAATGTCATCGGCCTTAATGTTGTGAGGATGACAGCTGGGATGTTTTAAGACCTGTCATTATTGAGTACATGGAAACACCCAGAAGCTTTTGAAAATTGCCACTTGTGTGCCCACCCCGATGCTGACTCCCCCCACCCCAAACAGTGGGTATGGGAGAGGCCTGGGTGTGGTTGTGTTTTTTAACCTCCCCAGGTGCTTGCTCAGCCAAGATATTGAGAAGTTGTGCTCTAACTTGCCCCTGGAAACTATGACTATACTAGGCACTCCCCCACACCCAGCCTCTCTTTTGGTCCCCTGGGCAGGTTGCCTCCAGGGGGATGGACCTACTATGGGGCAAGCATTCAGCTGCATAGATCTCCTCTAGTGGGAGCCCTGTGGGTTGGCCAAATAAAATGGAATCAGTTGGGAGTAGGGGCGTTGTATTGTATGAGGCTCAGGGTGGAAACTACTACAGAGAGTCTCAGTGGTCAGACATATGGAATTTCTGTTTGTCTGTTTTCGAGATGGTTTCCCTGTGTAACAGTCCTGGCTATCCTGCAACTTGTTTTATAGAGCAGGCTGGCCTTGAACTCACTGAGACCTGCCTGACTCTAACTCCAAAGCGCTGGGATTAAAGGCATGTGCCATTACCACCCGTCTACATATGGAATTCTTAAATCTTGATAAAGCCATTTACCAGCCATGTAGCCTCGTGCAGGTCAGTGATACTCATGTGCTTCAGTTTAAATCTAAAATAAGGGGAAAAATCATAACTGCCTTGACTTTATGTAAAGGAAATAAGCAAAGAGAGGACCAAGGTAGTGTGTGGACCGGCAGTATTTCTGCCATTTCGTCGTACTGTGAGATGAGATGGCTCACTGAGTGAAGCACTTGCTACCAAGCCTGAAGACCTGAGTTCAATTCTTAGGACTCACATGGAAAGAAAGAACTGACTCCCGCCGGTTGTCCTGTGACGTCAACACCTGCAGTGGGGTACACACCCCTCACTGTGCACCCAAAATAAATAAACCCACAACAAAAATTTATAGACCGATTAAATAAGAAACCTATCAATCACATTTCTCGTCCTTCTGACAAAATGCACAAAAGAAACAACGTAAATGATCAAGGATGGCTTTGGGCTCACACTTTTAGTGGGTTGCTGTCCATTATGGAGGGGAAGACAAGGGCAGGCTCTGCCATGCCGGGTGAGCCTAAGGTAGCGTATAAAAGCAGAGATTGCAAGTGTGTGCAAACCTCCAAAGGCCTGTCCCTGAAGTCTTACCTCCTAAAGGCTCCACAACCTTCAAAATAAAGCTAGAGATTGAAGACTGGGGTTCAGAACATTAGCTTTGGCGGGAAGGCTAGATTCAAGCCATGGTAAAGGTCAGAACCTCCTGCATGCTACGTACATTATCTGTCATTGAGCGGTCTCAGCAGGCCTCCAGTGATGCTTTAGAATCCTTTTGTATTACAGTTGTTCATTTCATGTCTATGTGTCAGAATTTGTGTAACACAGTGCTCACGTGGAGGTCTGAGGGCAACTTGGGGGAGTCAGTTCTCTCTGCTCCTGTGTGGGTCCAGGGGATTGAGCTTGGGTTGTCAGGACTGGCAGCCAGCAACTTTAAATAAGCTTTTTAATCAGATGTTTGGTCACATTTGTGCTTTAGGGGAATGACTCTGGATTGAGGTGCAGGTTGAAGTAAGCAGTGAGGGCCCCCCCCACCCCCCCGGGAGGTGACTATGACCACTTGAGTCTGAGCAGATAACATCTCCTGGAGGCTAGAGGAAGTGAAATACATAGAGAAGCTAGCCCGGGGAGGGCCTGCTTTAGTAATCTGTGGCTATGAGAGCTGAGTCAGAGGAAGAGCTTCTAGGAATGGGCTGATTTGGTAATCATTGGAGCTGAAGGAAGCCTCTGGAGTTTGGGAGGGGGTGAGAGTGGACTAGGTATTGAGGGACCAGGCTGAGCCTCACCCCTGCACCCACAGCTCAGGTCAGGTGTTCCTGCTGCTGTTTGCTGTCCTGGCTCACACGAGACCATGTGGCCTCTTGCCTCATCCGATGGGGAAAGCTCATCAGAATTCTCAGAATCCAGGAGCTACTGAGAAGCCAACGGGCCTCTTGTGCAGCTTTTTGATAGAAATGGGGCAGGACGTGCTGTTTCTAACCCTTTGAGTCGAGCCCAGGGTTTCCCTGGTGCCTGGACAATGTTGGCCAAGAGCTGGGGTGTGGGAGGCACATGTTCCTCATACTCAGTTCAGGGAATCTGGCTGGCTATCAGTCTCATCTCTCGCTGCAAACCCAGGCTTTCCACCTCCCCACCGCATCCTACCCAAGACAAGCTCAGAATCCCACGCTTTGCCCTTCCCCCAACCCAACATCCTTAGATGGAAAGGGGAGTTTCAGAGATGCTACTGGCAGCTGTTGTGTGGCTGACCAAGGAGAGCTAAGACTCAGAAGCTTACACAAGGGCAGAGGGGGTTCCCAGCCCAGAGAGGTGAGCTGGCGTGGGAGGGGCAATGAGCTCTCCCTTCCCCCCTCCTTTTCCTCCCTCTGTCCCTTTGCTCTACTTTGCTTTTCTTCCCTCAGCAAGGACTCACCACTCCCATTAAAGACAGTCCCCCTGGTCTGCCAAGAAGAGTGCTAGGCCCTGGGGTCAGGAAGAACTCTCTATGGGAGCTGGACACAATACAAATGACTGGACCAGGAAAGCCGCCAAGATAAAAATTTCAAACTGATATTGCGGGTGGGTGTTGCAGACTTCAGGCAGTCCCAGGCTGGCCTCAAACTTGTTATGTAGCCCAGGATGATTTTGAGCTCCCCACCCTCACCTCTTACAAGCTGGGATTAAGGTGCTACCAGGTTTAGTTTATACAGTACTGGGGGTTGAACCCAGAGCCTCACATATGTGAGGCAAGCACGCTAGCAACTGAATTATCCATCTTCAGCCCCTCAGCTAGTTCTGAAAGCATCTAATAGCGTTAGAGACTACCTGGGTACCATGGGCTTAGGGGAGTCTGGAGTTTCTTGGAGATTCGGGGCTGCATTGCACTTTATTTCTAGCCAGTGTCTCAGAGAAGATGACCAAGCAGAGTGGTGGTCTGGTTGTAAATAGGTGGGAATGCAGTTATTGTGCCTTTAAGCTACCCAATCCTTTCTTTAAGCACATTGAAATCCTAGTCTGAGGCTGCTTTTACATTAATGGTATCCAGAGGCCTTGTAAAAGATGAACCTCCTTTCCAGTGTGATTATCAGGGCAGGTTTGTACCGACTGTTCAGCCACGCCCTCTGGGTTGGTCCTGTAGGGGAGAGGCCAGATGGCCTGACAATTTGCTGGCTCTGAGGGCGAGCTAAGTCATCTGGAGGGGAGAGGATGGGGTGTTCCCTGATGCTGCATTTCTTGGTTTCAACTAGAGTCACCACCAGACTCCTTCTTACTTCACAGATTTCAACATAAATGTCACCCACTCTAATAAGAGCTGTTGTCTTGCCACTCTGTACCACAGGGCCTTACTTAACTTGTCCTCTGCTTTTCTTCTTGTTCCTCACTGACTATGTCACGCCCACTAGCATGTGAGCAATCACAGCCATGGAACAGTTTGTCTTGCTCGCTCAGCTTACCCCAACACCAAAGATTCTGCTCTGCATGATAAACAGTATGGAGTCTTTGCTCTCAGTTCTAGGCACAAGTGAGTCTGTCCAGACAAGAAAGACAAGAAGACCTACTGTGTGTACAGCAGTGGAGATACTGAGAAGCCATTCAGCCAGCACTGAGGAGACCTGCATAACAGCAATAGGATTGAAGAGCAGCTAGCTGACTTTGAAAGCCATTCCTATCTGCTCTCAGTAGTCTGAGGCTAAAATTAGGGCTGGTATTGAAGCCTCAGAATGCTGCATTGTAACTCAGCAGGAGGGCAAGGGTGCTTTTGGGGTCTCCTTAGGAGATGGGTGGGTGGGAGGGAACATGCAGAGGAGGTTTCAGCTATGCCATGGAGAGACTCAGGCATCTTTTCTTCTCCTGAGACTCAAATTATTTCAAAAGCCTTGTTTCATTGGAGATAAAGGTTTTGCTCTAATTCTCAACATTGGGCACCTGGGTAGTTGCAGCTGTTATAGTTTCTCAGACATGGTCTTCATGATTACTGGATGTTAGAATGGGATTTTTGTAACTGAAAGCAATGGGTTTACACCTCTCAATGGATGCAAAACTACAAATTATGCACAGTCAAGGATTTGTTTGTTTTTTTGTTTTTCTCGAGACATGGTTTCTCTGGGTAGCTTTGTAGACCAGGCTGGCCTAGAATTTATAGAAATCTGCCTGCCTCTGCCTCCCGAGTGCTGGGATTAAAGGCCTGTGCCACCACCACCCAGCTTAGTAGAGAGTAATTTCTTACCTGTGGCAGGAAAGGAAAGCATGGGGCTTATTTCCAAAGAAGTTTTATCCTCTTCCACCCTTCCCTCATCTCAATATCACATAGGTCAGGTTGTCCTTGGACATTCAGTGTACCTGAAGATGACCTTGAATGACGACCCTCCCACCTCTACCTTCCTAGGAGTACAGCACAAGTCACCAGGCCCGGTTCATGTGACAATGGGGACTGAACCCAGCCAGGGCTCTGTGCTTGTTAGGCAAGCACTCTACCAACTGAGCTGCATCCCCAGCTGGTATTCTTATTTTGCAGATGCAATATTTTAGATTACACAACAGATACACTGTGTACTCTCTCCACTGGGACTGAAAAGTCCACATCAACTTTGAGAAATTTCAAGATGCCTATAAACACCACTTAGTGGAATTCTCATTCTTGAGAACTTAACAAAACAAAAACAAAATCATGAAGAATTTTACATTTGCAGGGAATCTTTATAAAAGTCATGTGTTTGTATGTGATGATGTCAGCACATGCCTTTGATCCCAGCACTTGGGAGGCAGAGGCAGGCAGATTCCTGTGAGTTCGAGACCAGCCTGGTCTACAAGAGCTAGTTCCAGGACAGGCTCCAAAGCTACACAGGGAAACCCTGTCTTGAAAAACAAAAACAAAAAGATGATATTAGCTATTTTTCATGTCATTATGGTTGTTTTGTTTTGTTTCTTTCATAACATCTACTCTTTCCCATCTAGCTGAGAACCTAGCTAGTCCTCAGCCATGCACCCCTTGCTGGTTCTCAAAATCATTCATACAGTCTGATCTGTTGCTCTACAGGTCCAATCTGGTGTGGGCAGGAAGGTGACAGAGGAAGTGTGGGAAAGCAGTTAGTGATGCCTAAGGAAGATGCTGAACATTTTGTGAGTTGGCCTTTTTTTTTAAACAACCCACTGTTAGCAACTAATCCAGTCCCCAGAGACACAACCCACTCCCTTAGGATGTGTATTAATTCCTACTGAGCATGGAAGCCCATGACCAAATCAGGCCTTAGGGTTTTTGGTTTTTTTTTTTTCCTTTATTTTTGTATTTGTATGACTATGTGTACTGCACATGTGTATATGCTTGTTGTCATGTATGTGAGCCCTCCTGTATGCAGAGGCCTAAAGTTGATGTCAGGTGTCTTCCCCTTCACTCCCTAGTGTATTTATTTATTGAGGTGAATCTTTCACTAACCCTGGACCTCACCATTAGCCAGCTTCCCCAGGAACCCGTTGTCTCTGTTTTCCAGCGCTGGGATGACAGGCCATCCCCAAACCTGCCCAGCTTTCTGCAGATTCTGGGGAGCCAAATTCTAGTCTCACATTGCACTTCAAGAACTCTATTCACTGGTCCACTTGCCCCACTTTCTAAAGGGCCCATCACCTCTCCGTATCATCACACTGGGGTCACACTTCTACCACAGGAGCTCTGGGGCACAGACGACATCTGAACCATAGCAGAAAGTGCAACAGCAATTTCCTGCCTCCAAGTAGGATTCTAGCTTGTGCTGATGGAAAGTTTTCACTTATGGGAGCCTGGGTGGAGGCTGGTCACCTCCACTGGGGCTGCTCTGCTTCTTTCTCTGGTTTTCCATGAGGCAGAAGGGGATTTCCTATCAGGAACCACCATGGTATCTGTCTCAGCCAGCAGGAGGGGATTTTGGAAACAGGGTCCTTTATCTCTCTCAAAAACACAATGCTGGTCTCTTGTTCTGTGGGCTGGCTTTGGAAAAAAAATAAAGGTTATTTAAAGCTTGTAGATCAGGGAATTGTGTTTTTGCATGTGTTATAATTATTGCAGGAAAGTGTCAAGAGCAGCTGGGAAGGAGACACGAGGGTCGTAATCAAGATGGCAGCCCGGGAGAAGACTGCAGAGGCGTTCGAATAAAGTGTTTTCCAAAACTTCGGACTCGTTCTCCTGGTGGCATCTGGGATGATTTTAGGGTTCTTGTGGGGAAATAGAAAGAGGAGCACAGAACTTCCTTATGAAGTTGACAAATGTAGCCAGCTCTCATTAACGTAACTTTGTTTACAGTAGCTTATTGTTACTCTTTCCTTCTATTTTCAGCAAAGGAAACTGCCTTTCCATTTACAACAATAACATAAAGTGCTCATTTGAAACGTGCTTCTTAAAAAAAACGGGAAGTGTAGAGTAAAAATGTCAAGGAGATAATGTATTTTAAATGTGAAAGTGTGATTGTGCTACTCCAATAAATGAGCCTTTGAAAATAACCCTAATCTCTCATGCTACTGAGAAAGGTCAAGGCCGCAGCACAGCAGTGATTGCCAGGGTCTCCTGGAGAGATCATAGTAGAGACAGGATATAAGTGAACTGGAACAGCTAAGGTCACGAGTTCCCCATTTCTGTTCTTGGTCCTGCATGCTGTACCCCAGCTTGGCTCTTGCCACACCTCCAGTGAGGAGGTCCCTCTAATGGAACCCCTTGCTTCCCATCCATTGTTCAAATCCAGACAAGAGGTCGTGACCTGTAGCAAAGGGGCAAGCCTGGCCCCAGCCACACAAGGGGACTTCCTGAAGCTTCTATCGAAAATTTTCTGATTCGTTCTACCAAAGCTTCCCCAGAATTCCTCAACGCCTTAAAATTGCCTTCTTTGCTCATAAAGAAAAGTACAGGGAGTCACTTTTTCTCTGTGACCTACAGATTTTCACCATACCCAAGGGGAAGCAAAGACAAAGGTAGACTTGGGGCTTGACACTATTTGATCTAAATTTAAAAAGGAGAGACGCTTTCTGCCCTTGAGGTCCAGGGACATTTGACTTGAAGTTCAGTTTAACTAAAAGAAGGGCCTGGGGTCCATGCCCAGTAAATCTCAACAGCAATCCAGTCATCTGGTAATGTGTGTGGGTTCTGAAACCAGGTGATTGGACAAAAGGCTGAGGAGACTTCTCAGTCAGTAAAGTGCTGGTCATGTTGGTATAAGGATCTGAGTTCAATCCCCAGCCACTGTGCAGTTTAGAAAAAAAAAGGCTGGGTGTGGTGCTGTACACATGTAACCCATGCTGGAAAGGCAAACATGCTGATGCTTGTGGCTCTAGGTCCCAAGGACGGACTCTCTCAAAAAACAAGATGGGCAGTTACTAAGCATCTATGGTTGGTTGGTTGGTTGAACACACACACATACTCTCTCTGTGTCTCTCTTCTTCCCCTATGGGAGGGTGTGATTTTTTTCCAAGGCCAGTCCTTCTGTCTACATCCTATTTTCTGCAGGGGGAGGGGGAGGACTAATGTCCACTGGAGGTGTGAGGCCTAGTATGGGGATAGATAGATAAGATAGATTTATATCTAAATCTATGAGTTCCCCAGGTGGCTAACATTTGTGGAGATAACTAACAGCCACTTAATGTATGAGGCCTACACCCCTCTGAAACCTTGATAGTGGTTCTCAGCCTTCCAAATGCTGAGACCCTTTAATACGGTTCTTCATGTTATAATGATCCCCAGCCATAAAATTATTTCACTGTTACTTCATAACTGTAATTTTGCTACCGTTATGAATCACAGTGTAAATATGCAGGATATCTGATATGTGACCCATGTGCAAGGGTCATTCAACCCCCAAAGGAGTCGTGACCTCAACCTTGGCCTAGGGCCAAGTGAACTGCAAGCTTTCCCAGAGGGATCCTGAAGGACAGGCACACACAGGGGCCATGACTATCCCTGGAGGCCCAGGATCTTCACATGACAGGAGTCTACAGCTGAGCCAGTGTTTTAGGCCCATATTTAGTTGTATGGGTTAATATCTCTAGGGGAAGAAGTCTCTGGGTTAGGAAGGTGGGAGCAGAAAGAGGGTGTGAGGTAGAGGGAATCAGTAAACCCAGAGAATAGAAGAAACTGAGCACACCACAGGAGACCTGGAGGAGCCATTGTACAGGAAAAGGCGATCTTGACTGAAATTCTTGCAGTCCCTTCATCTCTCATATGTGACCTGAGCAACCAAAGAAGTTTGCTTAAGTTTATGTGAATTCCCTTAGTTTTGTATATACAACTCCCCCACTTCAGATATTAAACATTTTAGCAGTGGTGCACCTTAAAAAAATTCAAATAAGGTCTGGTGAGATGGCTTAGAGTAAAAGCAGCCATTGCCAAGCCTGATGACCTCAGTTCAATTCCTGGGACCTACACGATGGAAGGAGAGAATCAGTTCCTGAAGGTTGACCACTCATTGGTGCCCATATGCACCCAGCCTCCCCACAATGAATAAAATATGTTGAAAAATCAAATCATGTGTAGAAGAATCCAGGAAGAAGTAGTCAAGGGCTGGCATAAATTTATTTCTAAAATGAACAAGAACTTGGAATGAGCTGGCTCGCTGGCCTTTTCTAGGTGAGTCATCTGGTGAGGCTAAAGGAATTTTCCCCATAGCTTTTCAACCTGAGGTGCCAGTGGGAACTCAGAGTCATTTTGGTCACCCAGAGTAGAGCTCACAGCATTGGGACTTCACATTTAAGCTTATATTTGAAATCCCACTTTGCTGTCTCTGTCTATGACATCTGGACATGTAAGTCACATGTGTCTCCATTACAGACCCTTGAGGGGGATGAAGTCACTGTCAATCCCTTTGACATGTCCTCTAGGTACCCTCCTGGTTTCCCAAAGTACATGTTGAGAATATCTCATCTATGAGTTTAGGTCACATTATTCCAACACTAATTTCAAAGTTCAGAGAAAGTATCAATTTTCTTGCTATGTAGTAATAAGGACAATTATACTTATAGACATAAGTTGGCATTTGGGCAATGCATAGAATTAAAATGAGCAAGGCATCATAGGGGGAGGGCCTAGTACTGCCTCAGTTGAATGTGCCAGGCTTCGTTGACTCCTCATGGAAGGCCTTACCCTTTCTGAGGAATGGATATGGGTAGGTTGGGGGTAGATGGGGCAGGGAGTGGGAGGAGGGGAGGAGGAACTGTAGTTGGTATGTAAAATGAATAAAAAAATTTAAAAATGTACATTGACAAACACAAAAGAATTAAAATAAGAAATAATGAAAATGATCACAGGCTCCTACCAGTCATCATGCCCCCAACTGACTCCTATGCTCCTTCCCTACAACAAGTCCTGGTTGGGGGATACTCTAGCAAGCAGACATGACACCATGGACTCCCTGAAGAGTTGGAAACTTGGGTGAATTGTTGAGGTTTTGCCACAGTAGTCACTGACCATCTCAGGCCAAGACTAGCACCAAGCAGGGCCTTGAAGAGTCTGAGATATCACTGTTGGGTCACTTTTAGGGAAGCTTATTTCTAACTTCTGGAGTAAACATACAGTGGGGTGGTTGGTTTCAATTGTCAACTTGATACAGGGCTTGTGGGGGATTGTCTTGATGACTTTCATGGTGTGGAAAGATACTACCCTACAAATAGAAAGTCCCAGTCCCAGTTTCAGGACCTGGATTGCATAAGAGAAGAGAACATCAGTTGGATACTAAGAAGGCATACATTTGTTTTATCTCTGTGTTTAGATGTGAGGTGACTAGATGCTTTGAGTTCCCCACAATTAGAGTACAATTTGGAATTGTAAGTCAAATAAACCTTTCTCCCCAAAGGTGCTTTTTGTTAGTGTATTTTGTCACAGCCATAGAAAGGAAACTATGACACATGGCTTATTGAGGCGGGAGTAGGGGTTGATGACTAGGGATTTTAGGATCTGAAGATGAATGTCAAGGATGTCTCTCTGAGAAGAGCCTCTTCAGTCTTCCCACATGGCCATGTGGCTACCACTTGCCTGATGAGAAGGACTTTGTATTGTTGCTGCACACTGAGGGTTAGAATGACCAGACTGCTCTGCTTTTAGAGAGAGGTAGGCAGCAAAGAAACAGAGAGGGAGAGAGAAGAATAGAGGAGCAAGGGAGAAAGGAAGGTGGAGGAAAAAGAGGCTCACTGTAATAGGTAGCCTCAGTCCTCAACTTGACCTCCATCAGATTGACCCGTGGGTGTGTCTGTGAGGCATTTTCTCAATTGATGTGGGAGGGCCCAGCACACTATGGGTGGTACTGTCCCTGGGCAGGTGGGCCTGGAGTGTATGAGAAAGGTAGCTGAACAAGCCAGAGGGAGCAAGCCAGTAAGCAATGTTCCCCCATGTGCTCTACTTCAGTTCCTGCCTCTAGGTTCTTGTTTTGAGTTCCTGTCCTGCCCTCCTTTCATGGTAGATTGCAAACTGTAAGCTGAAATAGACTCTTTCCTCCTCTAGTTGCATTGGTTATGGTATGTAACACAGCAACAGAAAATAGACTCCACTAGGCAGGAACAAGAGGCGGCTTCACTGGCTCTCAGGAGCTATACATCCAGGGACAAACTGACTCCCTTCAAGGTCTGCTCCTTATTATAAAATGAAGACAGATTGAGTACAATTGGGAAATTTCAGGTCAGGTTAATTGCCCGTGTTCCCTGGGATATAAGATTTAGCTCCAGAGGATTTGGGTCTCAGGATTTAGGCCATGAGCAACACTCAATAGATGTGTGTGCGGCCTGTTCCTCTGTTTCGGGCCTCAGGAGACAAGGCCTCTGTGTCTTGTCTTGAGATTTATTTCTTGTTCATTTCATCTGGTTTGGCTTGTATATTAGGAGACTGATGGTTTGGCTTTCTACAGTTCTGCCACCACAGGTACAGCCTGGCATGGTCTTTAGGATATGGATTGTTAGCACACACACATATATTATAATCAACATCACAAAAAGTCTCATGGCTTAAAGCGATAATAAACACACTGTTTCTCTAACACAGCGTGGAGTGGTTCCATCTTAACAGCTTCCATGAGCAGCAGCTGAGCCACCAGTGGGTGGGGCGCCATCACCTGAAGGTTTGGCTGGGCCTTCTCACAGGGGTGTGTACTGGCTGTCGGCTGTAGGCCTTGGTTTCTCCTGGCACAGACCTGTCCATAGAGCAGCTTGAGTGTCTTCATAACATGATGGCTTCCTTCAGAGTAGAGAATTAAAGCAAGAGTGGTAACACTTTTTTAATGACCTGGCCTCAGGAATCACACTGTCACTTCACCATGTGTTGTTGGTCTTGTTCTAATGTGTTAGCCCCAGTGCATTGTGGGGATGCACAAGTCTCTGGAGCTGGGCTCCTTGGGGGTCATTGTGAAGGCTGGTTATATGAGGTCATCTCAGGTATGAAAGGCTGAGTCTTTGGCCAACTTGCTCTTTAGGATGTAAACTTCTGTTAAAGCACAGCTAAAATCATTTTGCCTTTGTGGTTCGTTCAAGGAA